TTTTTGCTCGACGCAAATAGCCCTAGCTACACGCAAAATCGCTCTTGGACGACGTAAAATTCACATCGCCCGACGCTTTATCGCAAGGCCTGCATATGGGTTCCAGTTATCGATCTAAATGGTTTCTATATCATTTTTGGTTGGGTAATGTTTTGAAGCAATAAAATTTTACTAGGCTCCTCTTTATTTTAGGTTTGTTTTATGTAGGTATAGTGTTTCTATAGTAAAGAGAAAGTTTGATCAAAATGAATTTTTTGAATGTTTTGTGCTACTATAGGAAATGGCGAGATAAAAGTTATTAGTTAGTTAAAATAAAAAGTAGTAACTATGGGCGGTACATAACATAGCTACATAATTTGTTTATTAATATTCATTAATAATATATTGTTTAGAACTAAATAATGAAAATCTCCTTTAAGATACTATAATAATGGTCAGTGTAACATCTACATCTGGTAGAAAACAAAAAAATCATTATTACTTCATTAAGCTGCTAAGCAAAGAAATACTGACTATTTCTTAACTAACTTCACTAGTTAACCTAAATTACACATATAGCAACTAACTATATGTGTAATTTAGGTTAACTAGTGAAACAGAAATCACTGAATGGTTCATGAATTTTGAATTAACCCTGACTTGTGCTAGAAAGTGTACTGAACTTCGTAAAATGTAATTATACAATTGGTTGTGAAAATAAATGCAGCTTGTACATAAAATCGATTTTAAAGTTGTTATTTAAAAAAAAAATTTTATCTTCAAACTATTAGAAATTAAAAATCCAATTACATTATCAACAAAAAATAATTTTTTTTAATAGAAAATACATATAATCGAAAAATAATCGATAGATTGTTTAGATGGTTTTTCGAAGCTCGATAAGTCAAGAACAGCGGGGTTTTGAATTAATAAATTTTTATTTTTGAATCTTCACAAACTAAAACATTCATTTACATTGAAATTTTTCAGATCTCACAACTGTACCACAAAATTTAACTTTAAAGCATCTTTTTATACTATGGCCCGTGGTCTATGGCACTCATTAACAAGTGTTCCGAATTTCAACCATCAACCATGTATCTATTTTATCAAATCTTAGCTGACTTAAGAGAGGTTTTCCATAAAAATTGCAAACAGAAAAGTGTTTACAAGTTATTAGCAATATTTTTATAACTTTTATTATTATTCCATTTAATGTAAATATTTATTTAAAAAGGAAATATAGATCTTTTGTATTTTTTTTTAATTTGAAGATGAAAGCGTTTATAGAAAAAAAATACTATAATTTTAATGTTAGTGAATTTTTATACTTTTTATGCGGAAAGAGTTTTTTTTTGTGATGTCTCATGATGTCAGGTTCGCTTTTATATTGATTGAAACAATCATGGTAAGTATACAGCAACTTTATAATTTAGTGATTTGAAGTTTTCTTTCAACAACAAAAAAATTGTATATTTACTATATTTTTATTTGTTTTTTAGATTGATCAAATAAAGAATGTTGTTTAGAAATACAAATTTAATTTATGTGCTGTAGGCAAAGATTTTGCAAACGGCAAAAGGTTTTAAAAAAATAAGTAGACACTTTACACCTGTTTACAGTTTATATCCGGTTGTTCTAACCTCCACGGGGAATAAGTTAACATAACCAAGACTAAACTTAATAGACTTTATGATCTTAAATGATATTAAAAAAACTGTAAACATGTAAATGAACAGATTTAAATAATAAAATAAATTACTATTAGATTTGAAAACTTAATAAAATAATAACTGCGCTACAATTTTGAGTAAAAAAGTATGAGAAAAACAGTGATTTAAAAAGTAATTTTTATTAAGTAAATTTAAATAAATAACTCTGCTATGCTTAAATAAATTTAAGAAAAAAACGGAAAAATGAATGATTTTTTTAAAAATAAAACTTGCAAAAATTAAAAAAACAAGCAAGAAATTAAAATAAGTAAATAAATGAATTTATCATAAACACATATTACATATTTTTTACTTACATCTACTTTTGCATGCCAACACTTTAATAGATTCAGGTCAGCAGTTGTATGCCGCCATAAAGCAAATATAGGTCAGCTTTTGCCTGAATTTTGCAGGCTGCATATATTTAGTCAACTCTCCTATAACGCAAATAATTTGTATTGCGTTATATGGAAACCATGTTATAAGAACTCTATTTGGTAAATGCATTTGTTGAAGACCACGTTATAAGAAACACAGAAATTATCAAAATAATCTAATTCTTAATACATAACTTAAATGGCGTTATATGGAAACTTCAGTCGCGTTATATAGAAACCCCGTTATAGGAACATAGAAGTAATATAAATTGAATCAATTCGTACCGCATTGTATAGAATCTTAGAAATAAATAATTTTTTTTTTTTCAGAAATAAACAAATTGTGCTCAAATAAACTTAATTTTATCACAAATAAAAAAAGTGAGTTTAAAAAAATTGTTTCCAACAAAAAACTAAAATGATGGATTGTAAATTCTGTTCTTATTTGTCATCGCTGTCAAATATTAGCCATCTAATCTTCTTTTCTTTTTTCTAATTGGCTGATAGTCTTCTTCATTTTGAAAAATTTCTTCTTGGTTTTCAAAAATAGTTTTACTTTGTAGTTCTTTCAAAACCTCTTTGTATGGAGCTAAGCAAATTTTGAAAATCTCTTTTAAATTTTTCACTGCGTATTATTGAAGGAACATTTTGGGTTAATTGGAATTTTAATTCTTTAGCCAAATCGAGCCCTTTTTTTAAATCGCAAGTGAAGTTTAAAGCAGATTAATTATTAGTGTCTTTCTTCCACAATTGTTTCAGACATAGACTTGTCAATTAACTCTGCTAACTCTTCTTCATTTAAACTGTGTTCCTGAAGTAGTTGTTCTATATCTTGAGCTTGTATATCTGCAAATCCTTACTTGCCAAAAGTAGAAGCAATCTGTATTATTTCTGTAAATGTAATCATTGTTACCATTTGAGGTAACAATGGCCTCCAACATGCATTAAGTGTTGATTGTTTAATTTCCGTACAAGCTAATGAAACAACTTGAGTACAGTTTAAAACAAAAAACTATTTCCAAACTTCCAGAAGAGTTTTACATTGTTGATCTTCTAATCTGCTGAAAATAACTTCAAAGAATTTCTGGATGTAATACATTTTCAAAGTTCGGATGATTTCTTGGTCCAGGGGTTGTAATAATGAAGTGCAGTTAGGAGGAAATTGAAGAATTTTCACATTTTCGGGACAAAGCCCTGCACTATGACTACTGGCGTTATCAAGAAACTTTATTTTTAATCATAAAGCTTTCTATTTGAGGGACAAAACAGTTTCAAAATCAATCCTTAAATTCATCCATCCTTAAATAATTCATCCAAAAAAGTTTACTTATGCATTTATCTTTAATTTTCTAAAGCTCCAATAACATAATTTAAACCAACCAACACATCTGCATGATGAATTCTGTCACTTAACACATTTAAGCACAAACATAACACATTTAAGCGCAAACTAAATTAAAAGAATTTATTTATAGCTTTATAATTGCTTAATTCATAATCAGAATCGAAAAAAAGGGAAATACTCTCTAAATGTATACAGAAAAAAAGGTAAAGTTATAAAAAAAACATAAACGTGACATCTAAAATGAGATAAAGAGATTTTCTTTTTCCTTAATTTTAATAAAAATTGTTACTTGGAGCACTACTTGGCAAATGATTTACTTTTTCTTTTTCGCATAAATAATGTAAGTAATGTAAATAACGTGTTGGAAAGTTTTTACAAAAATTGCATTATATGTATGTATGTATGTATGTGTATGTATATATATATAATATTATATATATATATATATATATATATATATATATATATATATATATATATATATATATATATATATATATATATATATATATATATATATATATATATATATATATATATATATATATATAAGTAAATGTATATATATATATATATATATATATATCAGGGATGCGGAGTCACAAAAGGACTTCAGCTTTATAACTTTACTTTTTTTATGGCCTCTGGTGTCCAGAAGCTCTTAACATGTTGGTTGATTAATGATCTGCAATCAGAAAAATATTTATGATATTTAATGACTTGGAACTTATTGTTTTTAAGCCTGGAGTCCTTGCCGCTATTATACCTAAGGATTCCGGTTTCAAAAATCTAGATTTTTTCCCCATTAGTAGCCCATATGCTTTTCTATATTTTTAAAGCTCCTGAATACCAAAAGCTAGAAATAAGTAATCTTTTTGTGACTTTCAAATCCAGAGTCCTTTTTGGGACTCCGCATCTTTGATATATATATATATATATATATATATATATATATATATATATATATATATATATATATATATATATATATATATATATATATATATATATATATATATACTACCATAATATACAAATACAGCCTTCTGAATCAGAAAAAATGAGGTCTGCAATAAAATGCCAATGACAAAACTGTTAGAGGGTGGCAAAATAAATTTGACACTAAGGGATTACCATAAAATATAGATATGAGATTAGCAAGTTATTGCCAACCTCAAACATCTATAAATATATATATATATATATATATATTTTTATATATATTTATATATATATATATATATATATATATATATATATATATATATATATATATATATATATATATATATATATATATATATATATATATATGTATATATATATATATATATATATGTATATATATATATATATATATATATATATATATATATATATATATATATATATATATATATATATGTATATATATATATATATATATATATATATATATATATATATATATATATATATATATATATATTATTTATTATTTATTACCTACCAAGGTATAATAAATAATAAATAAAAAACTAAAAAATATATCACATAACAAATAAATAAGACAAAAAAAAAAAAAAAAAAAATTAAAAAATACCATACCAGAGAAATCAGTTTCAAGATGAATTACTCTAATGGCATGATTATCCTAATATAATAATAAAAATTAATAATAATATAGATATAGATATAAGATATAAAGATAGATATTTTCTAAAAAAATCACACTCTCAAAAATAAGCAAACTTTGTTGTATAAAATAAAGTTAACATTAGACTTTTATACAATCATTAGTTAAATTTTTTTTAAAAAAACAGGAATTGGAGTTGGTATTTCCAAATTGGAAAAATAATTGTACATTTTGTTGATACAAATACAACTATTTAAATTTTTCTTGTCTATATCTATAACTCTGCATTAACATCCCTATTAACACAAGCATTAATACCCCTATTAATACCCACATTATTACTCCGCATTGACATTAATGTCATTATTTTGTTGATACAAATACAACTATTTAACTTTTTCATGTCTATAATTATACCTCGCATTAACGTCCCTATTAACATCTACATTAATACCCCTATTAACACCAGCATTGACATTATTTAATGACACTCGCATTGACATCCCCAGCAGGTTTTATTACCCCAGGATGCACATTGACATTAATAACACTATTTATTGACACCCAAATTGACATTTACAATAGATCATAATTCTAGCAGGGGTAATTAGCCGGGGCTAGGATATTATATTATATATTAAGCTCACTTATTTTTATAGTTTTTTAGGAGAAACTTATTTATTTTTATGCATGCATTTAGAAATTGGGTGGCCACGGAAAAATCTGTTCAACTTTAAATAGAGATTTCTCTAGAACCGCAAATACTTCTTTATTTCTATTATTTTTTTAAATTAAACATTATTTCTTAATCTTTAATTGTGTTGATAAACTTTTGTTACAAATCTATGATTTGCAAAATGTTTCAGAAACAATTTGAGGTATGTAAAATAGTTGTGAATTTAAATAGTGAAATTAAAGGAATGGGTAAAAATACCTCAAAAAACAAGGGGTTGCACCCTGCATCACCAAAATCGCTGAAATTTCGCACAAATGTTTAAAGATATAAGTTAGGAAAGACTGTAAAATTTTTTCAAAAAATTCTCAACCTTTTAAGATTTACAGCAACTTGAAGTTAGTTATTTTTTGACTGAAAAAAGAGGGGGGATAAAGCCGGAAATATGTCAATTTACCATTACCCTTTTAACAAACTTGTAGTAATGTTGCAAAGCTAAAACTTGGTACCAAAGTAGTTTAAAACGTGCTGAATCTGAAAATCATAAACTTATATGTCTCAAAACAATAAAATATAGTTTATTTTTAGATCCACAAAACGCACTTGTTAATGACAATAAAAAAGGCCATTGACAACTATAGTTCTAGAAAAAATCTGACTGATGAAAAAAAGTTTTGGTTTTTGTTATTTTAAATATTAAACATATATCTACTTTTTTATTTGGACTTATGTTTTATCAAGGACTTATTGATGTTTTAGTTTTTCAATTTTTCAATATTATGTATTATCAATATTATGTATTTTTTTATTTTGCAATATTATGTAACTTTAATATTTAACAATATTATGTAACTTTTGTTGTTGATTGTTTTGTTGTAATAAAACAGTTATTATCGTAAATAAAAAAGTTATAAAATGATATAATAATGTCTAATTAACATTACCATGTTAAGTTACATAACTAAATAAAATTATATTTAGTTATCTTTTACTTTTACTCAACTTTTTGAAGGTAGTTAATGGAGAATTTACAATAATTAGTAGATAGTTAGGCATTTAAAATATGTCTATTAAACTAATAGCTACTTGTTCAAGCAATATGTTCTTTATAAATACATATTGATATGGTGTCGTTTGTGTTCAAGTGTACTTTTCTTGTTAGGGACATAAAGATTATTTAAGATTTCTTGTACTAAGTGTTTAGACAGAGAATCCTCATTTTATTTTTATATAGATAACAAAATTAATTGCTGCTTTGTAAATAATTATGGAGCTTGCTATAAACAATCATATACTCAAGAAAGAAATCTGATTGAAGATATTGACAACAATCATCGTAAACTACTTGAAAAACGAACAAATCTGAAATAAGAACAAATTACTAATATATGCACACACCATCATGACATGTTAGTTGTAAGATATGAGGGTAATCAGTAAAGTTGCTGTAATCCATTTCTGATTCACCAAAAGGTGTGTAGAGGTAAAAATTTATATATTTATATTTCATAAGGTAATATCATTATTAATAAGCCATATAAGTTTTTTTGGTGATAAGATTTGTTCAATGTTTCATAGTTATTAATATAACAAATTGTATAGTAATATAATTACGTAATATATATAGTTAATGTTATTTGAGTAATGTAATTACTTTCTTTTTAAGCATCTCTATGTGTGATTACAATGCATACTGTATTAGAAGCAGAAACCATAGGTTTAAATCTTATACCTGGAAAAAAACTGTGTCCAACCTGTCGAAGTAAAGTTATGACATGTTTATCAAAAAGTATAAGTGAAAATAAAAATGATGAAGATTTTGATATTGTTAATGAAAGATCCATTCAAAATAAAAAAGAAAGTGTAGATACACACTTTGCATCTGCCGGAGTATCTCCAATTAAGGTCAAAGGATTGCACAAGTCAATTAAAATCAGAGAAGGTAAACGAAAATTGACAGCATTAACAACCTCCATTAAAAAAAGGTAGCCATTTTCCTTAATATATCAGAAGAAAGTTTTAAAGAACAGTCAAGTTTTAATAATGAGTACATGGAAAAAGCAAACTTGTTTGATAATATGATGGTATTGTTAATTAACAAAATTGCAGAGTCTACATCAACATCAAAAAAAGTACAACTTGCGACACTTGCTCTAACAGACTGGTCAATAAAAAAGTTATCTGAAACATTGCATGTAACAAACTATGTAGCTCGAACTGCACATAAGTTAACATTAGAAAAAGGTATTTTAACCATGCCTAATCCTAAATTAGGAAAAGCTCTTCCTAATGTAACAGTTCAATTGGTCAAGACCTTTTACAAAGACGATGAACATAGCCGGATAATGCCTGGTAAAAAGGACTATGTAAGAATCAAGAAAAATGTTCACATGCAAAAACGTTTGCTCTTAACTTTGGTGAGAACCGCTCTTAAAGAACGATTGGATACTGCTAATACAATACCTTGAACACGTAGTTACCATCAGTTTGTACCACTTGGCCATCAAAAGGTAAATTATTATTTTTTAATTATACCTTTTACCATATTTTAAAATACACACATAACTTTTATTGATAAACTCAAATAGATATTAGATTTTTGCAGAATCATTATCAAAATATTTGTATTTTATTTCCTCTGCATTTGCTATCTATGCATTTAACAAAACATGTTTGATAAGTAAAACGGAATAATTGCATATGTTACTATTTTGTTTAGGTAGGCACTAAGCTATGCAGTGTTGATGAAGAATTTGCTTTAATTCATGACTTTGGAAATATCCAGATAACAACTGTAAACCTAGTACCAGGTGATTATGCCTGTGTTTCCTATGAGCAAAAGTGGTGGATAGGAGTCATTAAAGACATTAATTTTAAAGAAAAAGATGTGCTTGTAAAATTTATGTGTCCTAATGGTCCTGCACGGTCATTTAAATGGCCACCAAAAGAAAGGCAATGCTGGATTCCTGATGTCCACATTGTTTGCAAAGTTGAGGTACCAATAACAAAAACAGGACTTTGCTACTAATTAGCCAAAGAGAACTTAAAAAAAATTTTCCTAAAAAGGTAGAGATTTTTATATTTATGAGTCTATTATGTCTTATCCATTCTTTTTTTAAATATTATGTTTTGTGAACCAACTTGTAAATAATGTGAATGTAAAGCATACATAAAATCACTAAAGTTTAGTATTTAAAAAAAAAAATGTATAAACATTTAAATTTTGTTGTAAATATCATATGAAAATGAAAAAGATAATAAAGTCACTAAATTTTTAGTTTTTAATTTGATTGATTGGTTATATTAAGTGTCTAACTTAAAAAATATTAAAAAATTTTGTGTCTATATCAAACATCAATAATTCCTCCAGTAAATATAAGGCCAAAACAAAATTGGTTCGAAAAGTAAGTGTTGATCTTATTTTTAAGAAAATTGAAATTAAATTTTTTTTATATCAGTCAGATCTTTTTTATAGCTATAATTGTCAATGCCCTTTTTTCTCGGCGTTGTAAAGTGTATTTTATGGATCTTAAAATAAGCTACATTCCCTTGTTTTAACATATAAAAAACTATATTTTTCGGATTTAACAGGTTTTAAACTCTTTTGGTACAAAGTTTCAGAATTGTGGCATCATAATGTGAAAATTGTACCTAAAGATGTGAACCCTCCATATTGTCCTGAAGAGCGCAAGAATGAATATTTTTGGGCAATAGTTAAAGGAGTTCTTTGAAAGACAGGTGGAGTAACAAAAAACAAAAAAGACTTCAAACTAAGTGGATTAATGCCACCAATAAGGTGAAAAAAGAAAAAGTCTGCAAAATATGGCAGAAATCTAAGTTTAAATTTGACTGGACTTTTCCGTGTCTACCCGATATATATATATATATATATATATATACATATCTATATATTTATTTTATATTATATATATATATATATATATATATATATATATATATATATATATATATATATAAATATATTCATATATATTTACAAATTTATATGTATACATAAATATATATATATATATATATTTATATATGCATATATATATATACATATATGTATATACATATATATATGCATATATATATATACTTTTGAATTTATATATAAATATATATACATATATATATATATATATACACATATATGTATATAAATAAATAAATATATATATATATATATATATATATATATATATATATATATATATATATATATATATATATATATATATATATATATATATGCATATATCAGGCCTTCTCAGGAGATGCGTGCGGTCGCACACATTGAATGACCACGCATATATATTTTTTTGTTGATAACATGGCCACA